GAGGAGGAGGAGGAGGAGGAGGAGGACGAGGAGGAGGAAGGGGGGGATGCTGATGATGATGATGATGATGATACTGATGATGATGATGCTGATGCTCATGGTGATGATGGTGATGATGATGATGATGATTATGGTGATGATGATGATGATGATGATGATGATGATAATGAGGAGGAGGAGGAAGAGGAGGAGGAGGAGGACGAGGAGGAGGAGGAGGAGGAAGAGGAAGATGAGGAGGAGGAGAGAGGAGGAGGAGGAGGAGGAAGGGGGGATGGATGCTGATGATGATGATGATGATGATGCTGATGATGCTGATGATGATGGTGATGATGATGATGATGATGATGATGATGATGATGATGAGATGATGATAATGAGGAGGAGGAGGAGGAAGAGGAGGAAGAGGAGGAAGAGGAGGAGGAGGAGGAGGACGAGGAGGAGGAGGCGGAGGAGGAGGAGGAGAAGGAGGAGGAGGAGGAACATGGGAGGAGGAAGGGGAGCAGGAGGGGTAGGAGGAATCAGACAAGGAGGGACAAGAGGAGGAGATACGAGAGGGAGACAGAGGGTGAGATAGAGAGAGTGATATTCACGAACAATCGCAATATATTGAGCGACGAAGGAGGATGGCCGACCCCCCACCCGACAACAATTTTTGTTCCAGATTCGTTGACGCCCTCCCGCTTTGGAAAACTTGTGGGGGTTCGGTCTATATCGACCTGTCATGGCCGCTGGCCGCGTGACTCCCGCCGTCCCTGATCGGCGAGGCAATCTCGATGCCGCGCTCGAAAATTGCTCAGTGAGTTTCAAGAGCAAAAGGGCCCCTGAGTGACCCCAGAGAGCCCCGAAACAATTCCATTACAGCCGGCCCATGGAGGCGTGAGTGAGTTCAAGCTTGCCACAACATGTGATCACGATGATACACCATGTCTGAGAGACCCACCCCCAAGCAGCGAAACACAGTAACCAGTGTTAGGACACCCTTCGGTTGCTGGCGTTTCCCCCCCCCCAGCGCTTGCACTTACAGGTTCTCACTTTGGTTTCTAATCAATTGGGTGGGTCCGCGGAGGTTGCCCTCGTGGATGGCTCGTGGGCGTCTCGTGCCCTGGGCGGCGCCTCCTGGGCGCCTCGTGGGCGCCTCGCGGGCCCCCCCCTGGGTCCCCGCCCGTGGGCGCCTCGTGGGCGTCTCGTGCCCCGGGTGGGTGCGCCGAGGTCTCGCCGCGTGCCCGCCCGTGGGCGCCCCGCAGGCGCCTCGTGCCCTGGGTGGGTGCGCCGAGGATTCGCCGCGTCTCCGCCCGGGGGGCTGCCGGGGCGATCGTGGGCGCCCCGTGCCCGGGGTTCGGGGGGACCCCCAAGCGGGGTGGTGACCACACCGTGCGGTGAGTCGGTGGGGATTCGGGGTCACCGCACGGTTTGGGGACTGGCGTCGTTCTCCGAGGATGTCTCGGGCGACGAGGGCCTCCGGGGTCCCAAGACCGTGCGGTGACGGACCGTGCGGTGAGTTCTTGGAGGGTTTCGAGGTCACCGCACGGTCTGTCACCGCACCGTTTCGGGACTCCAAATGGGCTGGTACCGTGGCTTGCACAACATAGCTCACACCGCATGGTTCTCATCGCTTAGGTTGCACAACGCTGTTCACAACATGTCTCACACCACACAGTTTTCTCGGACACGCGCAAGACCTCCAGACGACCCAAATCGAAGAAAAGGCGCCTTCCCCAAGACGGTTCCAAGGTGGCCTCAGAGCGACCCCAATGTGTCCCAGAAGTTATTATGCACGCTTTGCGTGTCCTTACCAGACCATTCAGAAACCCGTTCCATGAGAGTTGACGGGACAAGAGACGAAGTGACACATTTAGTGAAACAACTCCAGCGACCAGGGTGAACAGAGAGATCTCTGGGAGCAAGGGGTTGGCTTTGGAGGGCCTCTTCTGGCCATCCCTGGGGCCCGCGTGGGGGCGAGGCAAGGAGGAGGATGAGGAAGAGGAGGAGAAGGAGGAGGAGGAGGAGGATGAAGACGACGTCGACGACGACGACGACGACCACGACGACGGCGACGACGACGACGACGACCACGGCGACAAAGAAGAGGAGGAAAAGGAAAGAAAGATCATGCGGGCAAGGATGAGGACGAGGACGAGGACGAGGACGAGGACGAGCAGGAGGAGGAGGAGGAGGAGGAGGAGGAGGAGGAGGAGGAGGAGAAGGAGGACATCGAGGACGAGTATAGAACCCTCAAAATCGCCAGTCTTCGTTGGACTCTTTTCGGGGGTTTGGGGGCCCTCTTGGGGCCCGTCGGGGAGCCCTCTTGAGAGCCCTGGAGTGCCTCTTGAGGCCATCTTGGAGGCTATCGATCAACATAGGAGGGGTTTTATATTTCTCTCCCCCCCCCCCTTGGCCATCAAACTCGCCTCTTGGGGCGATCTTGGGGCGCTCTTTGGCCGATCTTGAGCATTCTTGGGGCCGTTTTGGGGGCCTCTTGGGCCCCTTGTAGGGCTGTCTTCGGCCATCTTTGGGCCATCTTGAAGCCTCAACATTGTTGAGACCAATGTTAACAATCGCAATCGTCTTGGAGCCATGTCGGAAGCAATCTTGAACCATTTTCGGCTATCTTGAGTCGCCTTGGAGGCCATCTCAGAGCATCGGAGGCTCGATTGGAAAAATCTTGGGCGACAAGGGACCCTCTGACACCTTGCGGCTCCCCCAAACAAACGTCATGGAGGTGAGGGGGAGGGTATACCTCCCCGAGGGAAAGGGGGTTTTTGGAACAGGAAGAAACAAGTCGTTAGGCCACCTGCCTTAGCCCAACGGGCTGGTGAGATTTTTAGGTGATCCCACGACAATGCCAAGGCGCAAACACATGCTGGGATTTGCATCCCGCCCTGGTTTTACGGGCACCCCAGTGTTAGTCGATGGGAAATGTGTCCGTTTGGAGTAAACGTGTGTGATTCGAGTACTTCAGTCGCGCAGGATCCCGCGCAGACCACGCAAGAAGGTTGTCTTGCTAGGCTTCTATTGGGCGAGTGGGTTCAGTGTTTTCTGAGGGGGGGTTCAATGCTTCCTGAGCCCTCGTCCCCCTCAGGGCTGTCGCCACTGAGCTCGTGCTTGCGAGCAGCATACGCATCAAACGAAGTGTTCGGCATGGTGATGTAGGTCATACCGCATGCCTTACACAGCATAGTGCACAGCACAGAGCGTACACTACATCGATTACACCACATTGTTTATTCTTCATACTCAACACACGATAGCGTTCACCACACGGCTTACTCCACAAAGCTTCCAACGCCGCGATGCAATATGCCGCTCTTTGGGTTCCACGCTGGCTAATGCTGATTATTACACAATACGTGTGACTTCTATATTGCTCCGAGCTCTAATATCGTTCCAGCGGAGACAAAAAGAGGCACATTGAGGAAGGAGGAGGGAGACACTTCATTATAGGACAGGCCGGGGGAATATTATGAGGAGGACGGATGTGTTGAAGGAAGGACAGCGAGGGAAGGAAACATTTGTCACGATTCGTCTACCCCCACCAGCTCATTCAGAAACCCGCTCCATGAGAGTTGACGGGAAAAGGGACGAAGTGACACACGTAGTGAAACAATGCCGGCAACCAGGGTAAAGAGAGAAGAGAGATTTCTCGGAGCAAAGGGGAGTGGAGGGTCTCTTCAGGCCATCCCTGGGGCGCGTGTGGGGGCGAGGAGGAGGAGGAAGACGACGACCACCACCACCACGACAACCACCACCGCCTCGACGACGAGGAAGAGGAGCAACAGGAAAGGAAGACGATGAGCGCAAGAACAAGGATGAGGAGGAGGAGGAGGAGGAGGAGGAGGAAGACAACGAGGACGAGGACAGAGCCTTCAAAATCGCCTCTTGGAGTTCTCTACTCTTTTGGTGGATCCTGGGCTCCTGTTGGGGCTGCCGTTTTCAGGCCGTCTTGGGGGCCTCCTGGGCCGTCTTGGTCCTTCTGAGCAATCGTGGGGGCCCATTGGGGCTGTTTGGGGCGGTCTGGGGGTCCTGTTGGGCTGTCTTGGGGCCCTCTTGGGCCGTCTGGACCCCTCTGGGGGCCCTCTTGGAGCGTCTTGGGGCCGTCTTGGGCCCCTCTTGGGCCGTCCTGGGCTCGTATTTGGGCCTTCTTTGGCGCCTATTGGGCCATCTCTGAGCGATCCTGGGGGCCTCTTTGGCTGTTTCGAGCAGCGCTCCAAACCACCGGAATCTGGGGAAACTAGCACCGAAACCTCAGGAGCACCAAAACATGTTGGCCTCTTGGCAGTCGTCTTCGGCCCCCGTTGGGCCATCTGGCGAGCCCGTTGGGCTGGCCGTCGAGTGGCCATTTTGGGCCCATCTTGGTCCATCTTGGGCCCATCGTGGCCGTCTTGGGGTGGTCGTCGGGCCCTCCTGAGGCCTCCTGGGGCTCTCGGGGGCCGCATTGGGGCCATCGGGGGCCGTCTTGGGCCCTTTTGTGGCGCTCGCGAATCAGTCTCCCTGGCCGGGCCCGAAGTTGTTCCGGATCATTTGGGACACCATCGGGACAACCAACGGGAGACCCTTCGGGACAACCAGGGGCGACGGCCCAGACACGGGGGGGGGCGACTCATTTTGATTCGTTTTGGCCCCATACGCCTGCAGAACTCGCGCACCTTCGCCTCGCCAGCAAGTAGCGCTTCGCACGAAACGAAACGAATCCCCAGTTGGGGTGCCCCACGTTTCTCTTCGGTCTCACCACTTGACCTCCGATACGTGGATCAGGAGGGGCTTGGACTCGGCATTCTGCAGGCAGGTCCTATTAAGCCTAGGGATGCGCGTGCGTATCTCTTTCTCGTTACGGTGACGCTTAGGAAGGATTCGCTATCAGGGCTCGGGGCCAGTTGCCGATGTATGATCGTCAGTTTCTTTGTCTTCTTCTTCTTTCAGGTCTCCCTCGCTTCTCCTCATCCTCCTTCTGGTCAGCCTCCTTCCTTTGTCCTCTTTTTTCCTCGCGCCCCCTCTCGATCGAGGCGACGTATGGCCAGCCGGCTGCAAGCCTTCCAGCCTACAGCCCGCAGTACATGGCTGGCGGTGCCTATGGCGCGCTCGCGCGCACCCGCTCGAAGGATGGTGATGATGCTGATGATGATGGTGATGATGGTGATGATGATGATGAGGATGATGATGTTGATGTTGATGATGATGATGATGATGATGATGATGATGATGCTGATGATGATGATGATGATGATGATGATGATCATCATCATGATGCTGCTGATGATGATGAGGATGAGGATGATGATGATGATGATGATGATGATGATGATGATGATGATGATGATGATGATGCTGATGCTGATGATGATGATGATGATGATCTTGATCTTGATGATGATGATGATGATGATGATGATGATGATGATGAGGAGGAGGAGGAGGAGGAGGAGGAGGAGGAGGAGGAGGGAGGAGGAGGAGGCGAAGGAAAGGAAGCCCGAGGCCCAGCGACGCCCGCGCAAATGCACGCTTGTTTTTCGCATCGCTGCCGGTCGCGCGTGCTATGATTCAGTTTGCCAATGCGCCGTCTGGGCGCGGCTCCTTTCGTTCCTCCGTTGCGTGGTAGGCCCTTCCCCAGAGGGCAAGACTGAAGATGGGAGAGGAAACGCCCGAAACCGCCCACGCCGTAGAGGGCCGGTGGGCTTCCGGGAGCTGGGCCACCCGACTGGCGACCTGAGGTCCGCGATCCCATGCGCGACGCCCCGCCCGACCCTCCCTCGCGACGCACCTCTCCGACCACTCCCCCCTGGCTGGCGCGCTTCCCTGGCGCCCTGCCCGGCGCCCCACCCCCTCTTTTGGCAGGCGCGCTCCGCCGACGGCTTCCCCCGCCGGCCGCGGCGTCTCCCCTGACGAACCTCCCCCCCCCCCTGCCGCGGAGGGTGCTCTTCGCGGACGCGCGGGGCGACGCCCGCGGCTCCCCCCTCCGCTCCGGGCTCGCACGGCCACGTCGGCCATTCCGACGGCCAGGGCGGCGCTTTCGACGGCCATCGTCGACCCCCGCGACGGCCACAACGCCAAGGCCACCCCGACGGCCACCTCGACGGCCACGGCGGCCACCCCGGAGCAGCCCGTGGCCCTGACGACAACCACTCCAGAAACAGCACGACAGACGCTCCGACCAGCGCTCTCAGGCGCGTCCGATTTGCCGACGTGTCTTAGGCCTCCAACTGCTGGCCCGTTGCGGCCCCTCGACGGCCGCAACACAACAGCGGCCGCGCACCAACAGCGAGGGTGGCCATCACGACGGCACTGGCCACCACCATGGTCGCAGACGACAGCCGCCGCCACACAGGCGGCCCGTGAGGACGTGAGGACCACCCCGTCCACCACTGTGGCGGATCCCCCCCTCCCCTTCGACACTCGGGCAGGCCTACCAGGACAGGGATGAATCGTTCCAGAGCGTTCCAGAACGCCCAGAGCGGTTCAGAACGTTGTGGAGCGGCCGCGGCGCCCGATGCATTCTCCAGAGCCGCCGGATCTCAGGGATTCCCGCTTTATCCCTGTCTGGTGTTGTCCTTGTCTTGGCTTCGTGTTCATCCTTCGACGCTGCAAGGGCTTGCGGCGCCGCTTCTGTTTGCTCCACCCCTAGAGGTCTCCCTCCCTTCGTTCGGAAGATCCACTCCATGGTCAGCCCTTCGGGGAGATCTAGGAGTCTTCCAGGCGCTCAGAGGCTCCTTTTTGTCCCTGCCTCCGTCCTCCCCATGGGATTGACTCCTCCCCCCTCGAGGGTTATCCTTCCTCCTTCCTCCTCTCCTCCTCCTCCTCCTCCTCCTCCTCCTCCTCCTCCTCTTCCTCCTCCTCCTCTCGCATGAATCTCGACGTCGCAGCGGTCATTTTCGTAGTGGCCCTCTCCCTGTCACGGTAAAAAAGCTGCGTGAGCGGCGGGGTGTCGAAGGCAGCACCCCTTGGGGTCGAATGCTTTTACACCGTCACGCGTCCGGAGGAGGAGTAGGTCGATTGTACAGTCGGACCGAGGTTCGAGGTTCGAGGTTTTCGGGTTCGAGGTCCCAGGTTTTCGGACGTTTTCGTCGGTTCTCGGCGGTTTTCTTCCTCGGGATGTTTGTCAGCAGCTGCGCCTTGCCGAGAGCGTTCTGGGGGTGCCAGGATCGTCCCGAACGGCCGCCAGAGACTCGAGTTTTGACCCCAAAACCAAATTCGGCGGCGGACCGAGATCGAGGTCGGATCGGGGAGGGTACCCCAGAGTGCTCCGTGTCGGTTGGGTGTTCTCGTGCCTCCTGGGGAGGGTACCTTCGGACGTCTCTGTGTGTGTGTGTGTGTGCGCGTTGTGACGGGCGGAGGGTCTCATGTTCTCGAGGGGCGTCTTCTGGATTAGGTCCAACTGTGCGGAGCCCGCCCCACCCCGTGAGAGAGGCCAGCGGGAGAGGCGGCTGTCTGATCCTTGCTCCATTCATCCCCCGATTGGTCTTGTCCAGAGCAGTAGCAGGGCCTGGGGCCAGGCAGTGCACGCCTGACTGGTTTCTCGTCTGCTCGCGGACACTCGCCAACGTGACTGCCAGATTGTTTACCCAAGCATCCGTTTTCTCGTTGTTGGTTTCGCCGGCTGTGCAGCCGCGCGTGCCCGCCTTGACTGCCATGGCGGAGGGGGGGCTTGGCTGCCAGGGCCGCGTGCGCGGGGGGCACCCGAATAGACACAGGCACCCAGCCAGGCAGCGCAGGAGCTCCATCCCGCTCCCGCATGCCGGCCGTGACGCATGGCGCCGTGGCACCGTAAATCACTCGAAGTTTGCTGTGGGCTGCACCTCCACCCGCTTCACCCGCTCGCCCACCACATTCATCTCCGCCTCGTCGTGGCCGTGGTCGTCTTCGTCTCCCCTGGTGCCCGTGTTTCGCCCGTCTCCCTGGCGCCCGTGTTTCGCTCGTTGTCCTTTCTCGTCGCCGCGCAGGTGCCTCGTATTCGGCCGCGCCGGCGTACGGCACGAGGTCATGGGTTGGGCAAGCTGTGCCACAGAGGGGAGGACGTGGGAGGGGGATGTGTGGAGGGGAGGCGTGCTTGGCGGGCTGAGCAAGCGCGGAAGTGGAGCGGGAGGGGGAGCTGTGCAGGGATGGGGTGGGAAAGCGGGGGCGGGGAGAGGAAAGGGGCTCACGGTGTGCGGGGGACGGGAAAAGTAACCAGGTTATCCGTGCGGTCTGATGGGAGCTAGTAAGGCATCCAGATGTCCGAGCGTGCGAACGTTCCGACCAGGAACGCTTCCGAGGAAAATGAGCCCTGGGGCGCATGTGAGGAGGTGGGAGAGAAGCAGGAAGGCAGGGACGCAGGCCAGCAGGGACGGGTGGGGAGGATGCGAGGAGGAGGAGCAAGAGCCGTTCGTCGTAACCGATCGCATGTCACTCCTCGTCGCCCTCTACGCCGTCTTCTGCCTCCTCCTTGCGATGGTGCTCGACATGGACCATCATCGCACCACTCTACTCGATCAACGCCCGGCCTCTTCCTCGTTGTCTGCCTGTCTTCCCCCCCCCTACACGCAGTTTCCTCTGGTGTCGCCTCCTATCGGTCTCACGGGGCGCGTAATGCATAGCATTCCCATGTAGCTTCCTCGAAGGACAACGTGCCCTTCCAAGTGCAATGTGTCTTGAGTGGGCACGTGGATCATGCCCTTTGTTGTAGGCTTGGTGAGTTCAGAGGTGCATGTGGTTCGGTCGATATGCCTTCGCCGCTGACCAATGTCGACTGTTGCACTTCACTATCGCGGTCATTGGCATCCCATCCGCGCGCTGCCAGTGCGAGCCCGCCGCCCTACAGTGCCAGCGCGGGAGGTGCGAGCTTTGCGTTGCTCCTCGCACGCTGGCATCATTTGAGACGTTGTGAGATGGCCGAAGGATGAGGAGGATAGAAGTGTTTGCTGCGACGACCAGGACCATCAAGGAAAGTTGATCAAGACCCTTAGGATGATACGACAGTTTGGGTGCCAGCAGCGAGGTATTTGCTCCGATATTGCCGCCGGCGCGTATTACCAGAAGTGCTGTTTCTGAAATTCCTTTGTGAATGTAGGTTGGGCCTTTGAGATAATGCGGCGTTGAACACGTGCATGCAGCAATGTAAGAGTACGCAAAGGAAGACGACTAGTGCCGCGACGACATGGCTAATCAAGATTACTGAAAGCGGATTGCGCGAATATCACTACGCCACCTCAACATGAATCGCAATGATAGTGATGATAATCGCAATCATCTCAACTGTGAGTGTGTGTACGCATCGCAGAGTTGTCAGTGATACAGTGTCAGCGCGTGGGCCCTGGGCCCGAAATCACACAACACAAAATAGTCTAAGGCGGGACCCCTGCGAGCGGGAAACATTTGACCACAACGAAACCCAATTGGCATGCTCAATTCACGGAGGGCGGGGTTCTATGGGCGGGGACTATCTGCATCCACCGCGGAACCCTTTCCCGCAGGGCTACCAGGGGCGGGGTCGTACGGGCTTCAGCATTTGCAGCCGCCGCGAAACCCAATCCACAAGTGCAGCAGCTAAGGGCTGGACCCTGATGGCGGGACGTTTATGACATCTCGACGACAACCAATGCACAGGACGCAATTGGGCGTGACATCGTGGGCGGCGACCGTGAAATCCAGCAAGTGGTGATCTACTGGGCAGCGACATAACCAACTCGGGGCTAGTCCCTACGGGCGGGGCACTGTTAAAGTGCCGCGAAACCAAACAGATAACCGCAACTCAGGGTGGGGCCCGATGGTCGGCACTCTGTGGACTCACCACGGAGTCCGTGAACCAGCTAAGTGCGGGAGCCTGTGCAACCACCGCGAAATCCAACGCAGTTGAGGAAGGGCGGAAGCTTGTTGCCAGGACCTTTTGCAACCACCGCGGAAACCAGCGAATAAAGGTAACGCGTGGCGGGGCCTTGTGTCAGCAACCAAGGGCAATCAAGGCAGGGCGGGGCCCTACGGGCGAGACCGTATGCAACAACAAGAACACCCAACAAACAAGGGGGGACAATACGGGCGGGGATCTGTGCAAATAGCGCCACGGACACTGAGGGCGGGGTCAGCTGCAACAGCCGCAAAACCCATCACAGGACCAGCTGTGTCCTGACCAAGTGAGATCTCCTCTCGAAAGCATTGCGCTCGGGACATTGTGATAGGGTAGGAAAACCACGATGCGTAAAGGGCCGATGCTGGCGTGACAGCGGGATGGCAGTGACCAGGTACATGGCAATCTGAAAGAGTGCCACCATGACAGTCCTTTCAAAGTGAGTGTTCTTGGGGGTACGGGCCGCGAAGGAGTTCCTGACAAACATTGTTCTTGCAATGGTGGCGAGTTGGCGACAGGGACGATGACGCTTCTGGTGTTGATCATGCGCTGCCTCCCCGCAGCGTACGCCGGCCTTGGATACGGGACCAGCGCTTACGCCGGCACTGTCGACGCTGGTGCCCCCGCCCCTGCGTGCTTCGGCGGCCAGCCCTGGGATTGAGCGAGAAGGAGAGGGCCTTCTCATCAGAAGGCTCGGAAGTCCCCGGGCCTTCTGAGAAGCCTCCTGAGCCTTCCCGTGACACGGAGAAATTGCCAGAGGACCCGCGAGCTGGGGGTATCTCAGAGCGGCCACACGTAAGAGCGATTTTTCGCCAGAGTGACCTTTGGTGCGGGAACACTGGTGTCCCGATCGCCGAACGCGACGCGAATGGGTTTTGCCCCCCCCCCTGCGGCCCCCCTAAAGCCGCGCACCAAAGGTCACTCTTGCGGCAAGAGTGACCTTTGGTCACTCTTGCGGCAAGTTGCCCAGGGCCACTGGCGTGTAGCCGACGCGAAGCCCCGCCGCGTTCTGAGAAGGCTTCCTCATCCTCACTTCCTCCCCCGCTCGCCGCCGAGCTCCCCGCTCGGTTCAGGGATCAGGGGCAACGATGAGGGGATGAGGGGGGTACATACAGGCAAAAGGGTGCGGCGCATTGACCCCCAATGGCCCGTTCATGGCCCATCCCATTCATGCATCGCCGATGCATCGCCGAGGTATCGGCGATGCGGCGCCATCCTGCGACCCCATCTACTCCGACTCCATCTACGAGGCCTCTACTCTTATTTCCCCTCCTCGCTCGCCGCCGAGCTTTCTGCGCTCGGCTTAGGAAGCAGGGGTAACAAGAAGGGGGGGTGACATGCACACGGGGGCGGCGCATCGACCCCCAGTGGCCCATTCATCGCCGATGGTGTTAAGTCGGGTATGTCCCTCTGCAGGAGGATTATTCAAGAATCGTAATCACAGAGTATGGGGACGATTATTCGTGCTCTTGTGATTGATGCCGATTATTGACTTCAAAAAACTCTTTCAAGATCCGCCTGTAGGAGGACATGCCCGACCTAGCGATAGCGTCTGGTGGGTCCGCCCAGCTCGGGAGCGTGCGGATTCACCATCAGAGGCCAATCGCCGATCTATCGGCGATGAATCGCCGATTCCAGGTCGATGTCCCCCACCTTATGCTAGTCCCCCCGTATCTCGGCGGCGAGCGAGGGGGGGAAGTGAGAAGGAGAAGGCTTTCTCAGAAGGCGGCGGAACTTCTTTGAAGCCCTCGCGCGTTCTGAGAAGTTTTCCGTGTCTTCGGGGAAGGCTAAGAGCATTCCGCAGAAGGCCGGGGGCCTCTGAAACTTCTGAGAGGGCGCGCCCATTCAGGCGTGCCCCTTCCCACTTCTCCCCTCCCCCTGCTCGTCCGCAGCCGTTCTGGCTCAAGTCCGTGGCCATTTTTGCTCAGGATCTGACCTTCCTGGCCAGGGGGGAGCGGCGGCCCCCGCAGTGCAACTCGGCTGCCGGGTCCGGCGCGTCTTTTTTTCTTTTGTTTTTCGGCAGGTGAGTTCCCGGAGGAGCATTACGTTTGCCCTGGGCTGTGCGCTGGTGGCACCTTCGCAACCATTCGGGTATAGCCAGGACCCCAGGTAAGGAGTCGCGGTTAGCAGAAGGGCTCTGGAGCATTTAAATTGGCCAGAATCACTAAACCAGGTCTGCCGTAGTTGGTGTTTTTTTCGGGTGACGGCAGTTCGGGTTAGTGGGACGGGCGTGGGGTGCGTCCTCCAGTACACATCACTAAACCAGGTCCCACTAAACCCAGTTCTGCCAACGCCCGAACCATTCCCGAGTCATGGCGATGCAGAGCAGCCCGACGGGCCACGGCTGGGGGGCGCGTCTTCAACAGGGGTCGCGCCCAGGCTGCTCTGCTGGAGGTGGAGGCTTACGTGGTGCTGAAGTCGTTCGCTCGTGTCCGTCTTCCGCCGGGGCAGTTGTTCGGGGGTTTCGGACAAGGTGGGAACGGGGGGGGGAGGACCACAATTTCACCCCCGACGTGGAAAGTGGGCTTGCACGCAATGCCCTTGCAGAAAGAGCGTGGCTTCCACGACCACCTGCCGGCACTGCGGGGCCCAGCGCTCCGACCCAGGAAAAGGCTTTCGTCCCCCGCCAGGGTTTTTGGTAACTCCCACAGCAAGCTCAGGGTGGTGGTGCTGGTGGTCAGCGTGGTCCTGTGCTTCTGGTTTTCAGCACTCAGGTCTGTCCTCCCACTGGACACTCCGGATCTCGCCGAAACTGGCTCACCCGTGCAGGCGATGCCGCGGCGGCCGATGAGTATACGAAGGTGTTGGAAGCAAGGCGCCTAAGCAGCCGTGAACAACCTATTCAGCAGCAGATCGCGAAAGCATTCAATGTTGCACGTTCCGTTGAGGACAGATTGGGAAGAACGGTTTCTCGGGTTAAGGCATCACTGGATACTCAACGTGCCTTGGTCGGTCGGCCCCAGGCGGAATATCAGCAAGCTGACGATCTTCACAAGCAGTTGGTCACGCAATTACTTTCCCAGGTCGTTGAGAAGCTCATTGGCGAAAAGCTCGCTGTTTGGTCAGTTCGTTCAATCCTGTTTGGTTCCATTGAAGAGATTCCGGCTTCCTGGGGGAATCTGGTTGGCGAAGCGGAGAGCAGACTCACGCTGTCTCAGGAGGACAAGGATGCCGCCGACCAACTCGCCACCCAGCTCAAGCAGGCCCTCAAGCAGGCGACCGAGACGTTGTTCTAGCAGGCAGTGGAGCAGGCGAACAAGGCAAAAAGGCAGAGCACAAGGCTGCGCTGCAGAGGCTGCAGGCGAAGCGCAGGCGCACTGAGGGAGGTGCAGAGGCAAGCGTGGGTGGCGAGGCAGCCCGACTCTACCCAAGGTGTTTCTGCAGGTGCCTTTTTGGGGTGCGTCGGCGCCTGCGGAAGCAGCGGTCGCCACCTTTGCGCGCGAGAGAGCCGCGGACACGGAGAGGCCCAGGAGGCCCCGCAGCAGTCCTAACGTTTTCTCCAGCAGGGTAGGGGGGGCTCTTGGCAAGGCTTCTGCTAGATTTTGGAGGGCCCTGCGTTTTGTGAAGGAACGAACGAAGGGCATTCTGTCTCCCTGCAGCCTCAAAGCCTCCGCCACTAGCCCCTGTGCCCCCGTAGGTACAAGTTTTGTGTTTTCCAGTCTTCTCGGGCTCTCGGAAGGTCGTGGTTCAAGATAGCCATTTTTGCTCAAGCCCCAAAACGGCCCCAAGAGTAATAACAAGAGCCCCACCTCACGTGCTACCGCACCGCACCCCTGCTCGTGCCCGGCCGCGATGTTCTGTTGCGATTGTGGAGGTAAGGTAGGAGAGTGCTCGTGCACGAGGTCCAGGAGCCGTGAGAGGCATGTCGTCAAGGCTGGGGCTGGGGCGTGCGAGCTGACCCTCACGAACATCGAGGGCTTGTTCAAGAAAGCGATGGAGGAGGAGAGGAAGGATATCAGAAAGACAATCCAGCAAGAGGTGTGGGCGATCAGTAAAGCTTTGAACGGGCGTATCGACGTTGTCGATAAGAAGGTCAATGCCGTAGAGCAGCGCACCGCCCAGCTCGAAGCCACGGTCGCTTCCTTCGAGACTCGGCTTGCGACCAGTCTTTCCAGCGGGACGGGAGGGCCGGCGTAGGTGCCAGCACATGTCGATATCAAAGGTTTCTGCACGTGGGAGGAACGTAAGACCAATGGCATCAGCACGCCTGATGCGGCTACTTTGGTGACTACGCTGACCGGACTCTTGGGGGATGACCTCAAGCCTCACGTCGGCGACGTGCTGATTCGAGGCCAACGGGGGCACCAAGTCAGAGTTCCTATCGCCGATGGGCACGCGGCTCTCGTGGCAGATCTGAGGCGAAATGTCCGTGCTGGAGAGGCGAACTACTACAATGGTGATACTAAACTGTGGGCTCAAGCTCAACGCTCCCCCCCGGTCCAGAAGAAGTGCTCCATGACAGGGAAGGTCACATATTGGGCGAATGCCAAAGTCCCGGGTTCGCACACGGTGCGAACGTTTTGGTCACCAGATTTTGCAGTCTACGCGGAGGGCGGGGACACGGCCATCTTGATCGCGACTATTTCGGAGCACGGGCCGGAGTGGGGCAGCGACGGCTTGAAGGGACTCCGCCGCGGCTCACCACCAGCTGCGCTGCTTCAGGCGCGGCCCGCAATAGGACGCCTCCGGAGACTACATGCCATAATTCGTTGACACGTTCACCGCAATGACTTGGAACATACGTCACAAGTCGCAGGGGCGCCTACATACTATTACACAGGCTATGCAGGCTAAATCATTAGGGTCGGCTGTTGTATGTCTTCAGGAATGCATGGTGTGGGTGGACGGTCGTATTGTCAATGGTTTCGTCGTTTTCAACGACACTCGCAGGCAACCCAACGGGGGCATCACGAAGGGCGGCGACTGCGGCTTCCTCGTCCCCTTCCACCTGGTTCCGTACATCTCCGACGTTGTGCATGGCGCCAATTGGAGGGTGATCCTTGTACATAAAAGTCTAATCTTGTCCTCCCACTATCTCGATCTTCTTATTTCTGAGGATGGCGCCCCCTCACGTATTCTTCACGACTCTCTTGCCTATGTGCAACGTTGTCGGTGTAGACGTCACGGGATTTTCTTGCCTTTGGTGGCGGGCTTCGACTCGAACGCTACTCTTGCAGGTTGCGTAGATGGAGCTCCTGGATCTACTGTGCGACCGAAAATGTGATCCCATTCAGTGGCTGTGGAACGTGTCGTGCTGACTTGGTTGCGATATCTGCATTTCGGGGCTCTCAATACTCTCGGTATTGCCCGCGATCCTGCTGATTTGTGGACGTGCGGGATCCGCCAGAACATGTCGAAGAGGTCGCAGATTGACTACATGGCCACGTCTTGCAATCTCGATGGCGCGGCGCATGCTATCAGACACTTGCCTCCAGCATGGGTGAAAGGTTTTGATCATCGGCCGGTGATTGCTGAGCTATCGGGCACTGCCCCCCTGCTATGCCCACAGGCCCATGGGGAGATCTTTGTGCGGCTGGCCACCGGCCGACGACGTCGCATCATAATATTTCGAGAAGGCTTGCGTATCTCCTGGAATCCTTGTCTTCGTTGGGTGACTTGGAGGATCGATTGCGGCATCTTGTTTGGGCCGTTCAACGCGCGACGGGCCCGAGGTCTCCAGAGCCGCTTCCTGAAGACGAGCCTGCCAGCTCCGGCAACGCGCGCTTCGCCAGGCGGCTCGCCGTCAGCAGCCATCCAGCACCAGGCCTGCGCTTTGCGTCGAGAGCGGCTCAAGGAAAGCAGGCAACGAGCATAGCGGAAGCTGAAGACGCTGTCAAGCTGCCGGTCGCGCTGCTGCACGTTGCCCACCTGCTTGCAGCTGGATGGGCGCCTGGCCGCCGCCCGAGAGCAGTGGCTGCAACATGCGTGCCAGCTTGGGCGCGCTCGCTTCTCCGACGCCGACAACGCCGCCCGCAAGCAGCTCGATCGGTTGCACACCTCAGTGGCAGTGCATCGCGACAATGTCATCGATGGCTCCGCCAAGACAGCGATCGAACTTTGGGGCGTCGTGCAGGCGAAGGCCGTGCTTCGACCTGGTTCCGGGCTGGGCCCCGACGGCGTTCCACCTGGAGTGTTCATTTCATTGCCGTGGACTGTTGTGTTGCACATTTGGGAACTCTTCCGTACTCGCGCTTCTCTCGGGATTTCTGGGAATTCGGTATATCAGAAGATCGTCGAATTCATAGGCCTACCTAAGGAGAAGTTTATCACCGACTTCAGTGACCACCGCTGGAGTGGCAAAACAAGCGCGTTGCAAAGGTGGTATATGAGGTGTATGCGACCGCCCGCACTGAACCAACAACGCCCGAGCATTGCCCGGACGATCGGGTGTAAGAAGGGCTGCAGGCCGGAGCGCGTGTCAGGATTGATTCAACATTTGTTTCACTTCTGGCGCGTGGGGTATTCCTCTTCACTGCGCCGCCCAGGACGTTGCGACAGCTTTCGATTCGACGAAGCACGTCAGTATGTGCGACGCTTTGACGTCCCGGGGACTTCAATCTGGGCGCGTCGCGTCGCTCACGCGGGAACTCACTGGCGTCTCCGCGACCGCGCAGATCGCCGGCGCTGGCGTTGCAGAGAGCTTTCCGTACGCGCGGGGAGGTAAACAGGGCGCAGTAGAAACCCCAGACATTTGGAATTCCATCCTCGAGAACCTCATGGAACCGTTGATCGACGCATGGTTTTCCAGCGGTTTTTGCTTTCTCTCGGATGGAGCGGTGCGCACGCGCGTCATTTGGGACGACGACATATTTCTTTTGGCACCTCGCCGCGAACGCATCTGGGCCATGACAGAGGACTTTAGCGCCGCTCTAGTACTGCGCGGGCTATTTTGGAAACCATCATCATTGCAGCATATAGCTGGTCCAGCTTCCGAGCGCAAGCGCTTGCCGGTTCTCGTCGACCAACAGAACGGAAGTAGCATGCAGGGGCGCTTGTGGATGGGCCCAGCGCCGCGCAATCCAGCATGGAGCACAGACCTGTCTCTTGCTTCTGGCTTTTATATTTCAAACGCCAGTGCGCCTTGTTGTCAGGGGCCCCTCTCAAGTCAAAGCTGGCGGCTTGGACGCGCGCGCCCTCCGCGTCTGCGGCCTCTGGATGTTCGACCTGGCATCTGGGCCAGAGTTTACTGCGACGGGCTCGCCCTTGGGAGTTGGGCCACGCGCGCCGTTTCCTCAAGCTCTGTCCGAGACCAGGCGAAGGCCGATCGAGCTACTTACAGCGCACTGCAATGAGAATACACAAGTGGTTTCAACCATGTGCATTGGATCCGCTGCATGTTCGAATCCAGAAGGCCGTCTTCAAGTCAGCCTGGCATGAGCGTTCAGACAAATCTGATTTACTCCGCAACGCCAGATTGTATCGCACCGCTGTGGAATGGGAAACAGTTTGCGCGCTCCATGGGAAGCGTGGCGAAGGCCGCGGTCGCCGGGTGTCTGGTGCTGGCCGCGCCCCGCGGGAGGTACCTTTCTGCCTGGCTTCCGGCCTGCGCTGGAGGAGCATGCGTGACAGGTGCGAGAACGTTGCGCAATGGGCGCGGCACTGCGGGGCTTTCCTGGACGCAGTCTGCACTGCGCGGCATCTCCCGCGACTGGAGCATAGTCCTCGCGGCCAACCAGCCCCAGTCCCTGGCAATCCCCGCGAGCGCACCGTGGACGATATCCCGTGCTTAAGCCTTCGCCCCGAAGACAATACGTGGGGCCCTGGAGGCCGGCAGCTGCAGGTACGTGTTGACAGCGAGACTGTGGCGGACCTTGTTAATGGGAGAGCGGCTTTGGCCGACGATTCGTTCCGGCCAGTATTCGTGACATTCTGAGGAAGCTTGCCGCTCTGAGCGAGCGCTGTTGGCTGCCCGTGAGGGGGCGCCTCCCAATCGTCCGTTGGCGGCGCAGGGGGCACAACAACGTGGCAGACCACGTTGCCGACGTCGTCTTGGAGACGCGGACATCATGGACGTGGTGTCCTGGCGATCTCGCTCGAGCCTGGCCGGCTAGTAGATTTCCTCTCTGCTGCGACGGCGGTTTTGCGCCAGAGCGCGGCGCTGCAGCCAGCTCTCTCACCGATCTGCGCACCGAGAGACAGGTCCTCGCGGGCGCCAGGGGCCCGCGCATGTACAGTGGTCGCAGCGCCGTCGAGGCCGAAGCGGTGGCTCTTGACGGCGGCTTAGATGCGTTCCTGG